CTCAGATGGTCCAAAGACAACTGAGAGCCCAACGATTCTTTCAGGAACTAAAGAGATAAAAACTTCCTTCATAGTAATGTTATGACATAATTTACCCTCCACATAGCGAGTTTTCCACATGCTATGTGGCACATACTAGCCTCATAGACAAAAATCACTCAGCTGTCTTCTATTAACATGACATTTCAAAATTTGCAAGAAATACATTTGAAAACAAAAACAAAAAGTAAACTACAATGCCACTGTTTTTGTTTATTCATTTATAACATATGACTTCTATTTAATTATATATATTTGTATTATATATTATATATGTGCTACAATATATATTGATATCCAATGACTTTACTATTATTATAGTTGATTACCTTCAAATTTCTGTTTTAATTTCTAATACAATAGAGTCATGTGACCTGTAAAGATAATATAAGGTTCCCACCCATGTCAAAGTATGTAAGTGACTCATGCCTATCATACTAGCTACTCAGGAGCCTAAGATCCAAAGGACTATGCTTGGAAGTTAGATCAAGTAGAAAGGTCCCTTATACTCCTGTTCAAATTTGCCACCAAAATCTTCCATTGAGGGCATGTCTGAAGTGGCAGAACCCCAGCCATGAGTAAGCAAGGTGAGCAACAGTATATGAAGCTCTCTAGTTCAAGCACTGGTACAGGCACAAAAAGTCTACAGATGTCTTCAGTCCAAGAAGTTTTAAAATGGTGTTAAATAATCAATGAGTTTAAACAGCACAAGAAATCCTATTTCAGGGAAAAGATGATGGTCCTTAAGACATAAAAGGGAGTTTTGCAACTTCAGAGACATACTATAGTTCACTTTAGAAAACACAATTAGACTCAACCCATATTATTTCTATGAAAAAGAGTGAATTAATACATAGAACAAACTTAATAACAATATGAACTTATTACAAAATAAGTACTTCATTTGCACACTTTGAAGGACTCTAAATCTTATTGTATGTTTGCAATGTCTTAAAATTCCATATACTCAGAACTCTGCCAAAATGTATGCAGCTGGAATGGTTGTGGGCTCTTGACAAATGGGTATACATGTCTGTGTGAGGAATATGGTGTGAAGGAAGGCTTGTGGCAGAGCTTCCCAATGAACATTTGCAGATAATAAGCAGTACACATCCTTCACTGCTAATGACACTAATTGTAAGACAGAAGTTTGGAAGCCGGATGACAGCAGCAAACTTATTATCCATCACAAAAGGGAACAGAGAGTAATATTCAAATTTGGAAAGTGTGAGTATCTCAATACCAAGACATTATCAGCTCTTGCTTTATTAGCGTGTGTAAAAATAAAGATCTGGGGCAGGGAAGGTGGCTCAGTAGTAGAGTGCTTGCCTTGAATGCATGAGGGCCCAGGTTCAATTCCTCAGTACCACATAAGCAGAAAAAGCCAGAAGTAGTACTATGGCTCAAGTGGTAGAACGTAGCCTTGAGCTGAAGAGCTGAGGGACACCGGCCAGGCCCAGAGTTCAGGCCCCATGACTGACCAAAAAATAAATAAAATAAGATAGAATAAAGGTCAGAAATTCCACCTTTATTATAGCTCTAGGTCTATCTTGTTTCATCTATCTCTAGGAAAAGGTCCTAGAAAAGTGATTGACTTATTAGAGCTATTCAGATCTAAAGAAAGGAGCTAATACCCTTCTCCATGTTCTCTAATTGCTGAGATAGCCTTATGTTCAAGGTTCTTACTGTAACATATACAACATATACTTGTAACATATACAACTCCATAGAGAAGACTGAATTGGTATGTGCCAGGAGTGCAAACACCAACAGTGAATTTCAAGTATTCATCTCTGTCCTCAGACTAATGCTCTTACATATGCATATGCTTGCTCGCTTGCAGTATTTTATTTTTTTCCTCCATGATTTTCTACTACACACAATTTATCAAATTTACTAGTCATTCTACCTGGTTAATATTGTTCACATATTTTTGTATCTTGCTTTCCTTTCTACATTAATGTCTAGTCTTTATTTCTTACTAACTTGTACCTTTTGTATTATAGTTGGGACAATCTTGTTGTTTCTCATTTCATCATACTGCCTTGAATGGTTTTCATATAATTAAATTACTTTTGAAATTTCTTGTGATGTCAAGGTTCTAATACATATACACAGAGAAGTACACATGTGTATATGTATATGTGTTAAAGACAGTTAAGGAATTATAACGCATCCACAATATAAGAGGAAAATAGGCAAAGATCTCTTCCAGCCCAGGGAAATGCACAGGAGTAAAATTCAGGTAGGATGGGATATTTCCCTTTATTTTCCTTCAAAGTACAAAAGAATGAATGGAAAAAGTAGTGTTAGATTTACTTGACATCTGAGGAGCATATGCATTTCAAGCTGAGGCCTTGGAGAAAGAATCTGTATTGATTAGAACTATATTAGAACCTATCCTCACAGACCACAGAGAGAGTCCAGGTCCCTCTGGTTTCATGTACAACAGTTTGGAAACTGCTATTCTAGATTCCAATGGATAGCAAAACATTCTCCTGCTTATTTTCTCATCGATCACGTTAATTTTTCTCATCTTCTTTCTGTTTGCTCCATTCCCTACTCATATAATCGACTTCCCATTTCTTCAGTATTTATCACAAGGCAGCCTACACATTCCTGTCTTCACACCTTTCTTTACAGACCTCACCACAATAGTTTGTGCACAATTGAAATAAGAATCATAGATACTAGGCAGAAAGTTCCTTTCTGTAGGAATTAAATAAATAGTGAAACCATCATTAATATAGTTATTACATAATGAAACAAGAGTTTAAAACCTTTCTTCAGTTTTCAAGAGAGTGAGTAACACGATCATCAACTCTATTCTCATCTTCAAACGTATGGAAAAATCAGAATGAGTCCTGGTGGTTCAAACTGAGATAACCAGGAATCTGGCACCAAAATATAACAATAGAACTAAAATCAATTGTAATCAGACATTCCATTATCTATTAGAACTAGTGTAAGTAAATCTCCTTGAATACAGATAAAACTTATGAACACAGTGAAGCAGTCACTGTGGTTAAGTAACATTACACCACACAAACATGATTATTTTCATCTGAAAGATATAAGTTGGCCTCTTAATATCTACTATCATTTTCTTAGAACTGATATATCATAAAAATCTACTATAACACAACCCTCAAGAGTATTGCATGTAACTTACTTAAGTTATCTTGTTCCTCTTTAGCTAGTTCCTCTTTAGAAAAGAAAGTGGAAACTAGTTAACAGGAAACCTCATATCCATCTTATTTCTTTCCTCTCCCAATAGCCTTTAGAAATACACCAAAGAGTGATTTAGAACCAATGAGGAGGGTGACACTCTGATTAATGGTGTGTGTACACCAGTTGAATATGAAGGTGATCGTGTATGTGTACATGTGTGTATGTGCATGTGTGCCTCCATGAGTATCACTCCACACAACTGTTAAAAGAGTGCCTAAAATATGGAAAGGAAGTAGTTAGGTTGCTGTATCTAACTGAACTAGAGTCATGGAAAGATTAATATTATTAAAGAAGTTAGTGAGTGGCATTAACCCAGTCTATACAGAGAAATACGGTTACAAGTACCATCTTTTATCTTAAAGCACAAAACAGATGACTCAACCTCCTTGAAACATTGTGTTTTACTGTAAGAGGCTTCAAATTCTGCAGTTATTTTACACATGCCAGGCACATCCCCTTCCTATAGGCTTTATGAACTGCCTCAAACATTTCCTTATATTAGCAGATCTAAGTGGGAAGAGATTTACCTTGTCAGTAAAACAATGAACAATATTTAGGAATGGTTTGTCACTAGAATATCTCAATCAAGTTACTATAAATAACTATGCAATTATCTAGATATATTTGGTTAGATAGTTGCAAATATATTTGCAAGGAAATATGTAACTGCATGTATTCTGGGTAGGGTATTTGATCTTATAGATTTCTCTCTTCTTTGAAACTAAAAAGCCTATATTAAATTATTATGCAGCATAATTCCAAAGAATACATGTCTGTGTGTAGCCCTGAAAGAGAAGACACAAATTTAAAGGGTTATAATAGATAAGAAACTATTTTGCATGCACTCAGAAGAGCTGGGTAAGGGCCAGCTTCAAGAAAAGGATCAAAGGAAATGCTAAGAAACAGATTGAAAGAGAATGCAGGCTGTGTACAAGGATAGCCAGAGAAGTGAGGATCAGCTTCTAGAGATTAAAGACATCTGTGAGAAGCTTCTGCTCCACTTACTGTGCTTCTTTGCAGCCTGTCATTCACTGTGCTATGTCTCCAAAGAGAAAACATACAGCTAGAATCCAAGATTGTAAGGGAACGATCTCAGGCCTTAGTTTATCCTGTCCTAAAATGTTTGTGATGTAGCATAATTCCCTGACCCTTTCCTTCCTCTCTGGATAGATTTTTCATTAGATTATTGATTTTATACTATTATTATTATTTAATTCATTTGTTTTTGTCAGTCCTGGGCCTTGAACTCAGGTCCTGTGTGCTGTCCCTGAGCCTCTTTGTGTTCAAGGCTAGCCCTCTATCTCTTGAGCCACAGTGCCACTTCCAGCCTTTTCTGATTAGTGTATTGAAGGTAAGAGTCTCACAAACTTTCCTGCCCAGGCTGGCTTCGAACCGAGATCCCCTGATCTCAGCCTCCTGAGTAGCTAGGATTACAGGCATGAGCCATCAGCACCCAGCTCATAATTCTATTAATAACATTAAAATGTTAAAGCTTTTCTCCAAGTATAATTGTTTTTAAAATATAAATACATGCATATGTATTCCTTTCAAAATAAGAGCTTTCCAATTCTTTTAAGATTAGATAGGATTATGTAACATTTTTAAAATAGTAAAACCTACACACATTAAAGTATCAAGTAAAATAGCTGCTAACCTGTCTGACTAATAATCGCCTGCTTAGATCCAGTCTAAGAGAGGAAAAGGAAGCAATAAATTTGGCCCTAACTTACCACACATTTTAATTGCACAGTACTCCCAAGGGGTGTCAGGGTCAAGAGTATAGCACCATGGCCTCGGCTTGCCATCAGGATTGCGGCAATAATTATCATCAAAGCCCTTGTCGGGATATCTGCAAACCACACCAAGAAAAGTGTCACGTAAATCTGCCTGGAACACCATGGAGCCCTCAGCCTATACAATAACTTCCCACTTAGCTTGGCTACTACGAGCTGGGGAAAGAACAGCTTTACCAAGACTGTCAATCATCCACTATCAAATTTACTAACTTACATATTCCACTAAGTGTAGAGTATCATCTTCTTTGCTCATTAGTTAGGTCCTTTTGTTACCTGACCACCAGTTCAGGTCCTGAACTGAGTGCCTCTCTCACCGAGCCCAATTAAGGACAAATTCCAATGCATGACCTCCTGCACAATGCTCATTAAGGAAACAGGTCCTCTTTTAGGGCAGGCTTGAGTTCAAACTGAAAGTTGGGTTTCAATAGCTCTGTTACTAATGATAGCTCAATTTTAGAAATAGAGCCTTTCTAGGTCATGGCCTCCCATCCAGCAGAGCAAGAGACAAACCCCATCACACCACCTACCTTTTCCACAACCACCTCCCTCTAAATTAACTGTCTTCAATCGTGACTTGATTTTAATTACTACCATATTCTTCTGTTCTAACTTTTTAGAGATGCATTTACAAAATAAACTAAAATTTTAATATCATTGGAAAGCGTAAGAAGACAAAACCAAACAAAAACAAAAACAAAAAAGGGGAGGGGAACAAAATAAACCACCTCATATCAATATCCATAGGAAGACAGAGAAGGGGGTTTTGTTTCTAAAGTTTTGTGTTTTTATTCTTAGTAATAAAAATAAAGGATTTTGGCTGAGTATGGTTATACATGCTTGTAACCCCAGCTACTTGGGAAACAGAGGATTAGGACTTTAAGGCCAGCCTAGATGAAGGTAGAAGAAAGATACTGCCTTGGAAACAAAATAAAAACTGAAAGTCTGAGTAAAAGCTTAAGTGCCTAGTGTGAACGAGGGCCAGTGCTCAAACTCTAACGTGACAACATAGAAAAAAATGAAAAAATTGTTTTTACTTAAAACTTTCTTTTTCTTTTTTCTTCTTTCTTTCCTTCTTTCTCTCTTCCTCTTTTCTTCTCTCCTTCTTCCTTCCTTTCTTTCTCTTCCTTCCCTTCTCCTTCTTTCCATCTTTTCTTTTCCTTTCTTCCATTTTCCTTGCTTCCTATTTTCTTACTTCCTCCTTCCTTCACTTTATCCTTTCTTCCCTCCTTCCTTTCTTCCCTCTCTCCCTGTATCCTTCCTTCCTTCCTTCCTTCCTTCTTTCCTTCCTTCCTTCCTTCCTTCCTTCCTTCCTTCCTTTCTTTCTTTCTCCCTCCCCCTTCCTTCCTTCCTTTGTGACAGTAAAGGGTTATAGACTCAGGGACTCCTGCTTGCTTGGCTCATTTGCTCCCTGTTGGTGCTTTACCACTGAGTCACACCTCCAGTCTAGCCTTTCATGTTATTTTGAAGATAGACTCTCTCAGACTTTTCTGCCTGGGCTACCCTTAAATCTGGAGCCTCTCGATCTTAACCTTCTCAGTAGCAAGGATTGTAGGTATGATCAGCTGTCACTCAACATAACAATGCAATGTGAAATGAATGAACAGAAAAAGATAAATATTTTTATTGTTGTTAACTAGGTGAGATCAAAATACTTTCATGGGGAAAAAGTAGATTAGTTGTTTGACTTCTCTAAAATATCTGGCCTTATTTAAAATTGCACAACACACTAGGGTTTCTGAGTTTCTGAAGGTGCTGCTGTAAATAACTTGCTTATATTTAGCAATAGTCCCTTCTCCCACAGGACCAATGGTCCACATGGTCATTATTGAACTGAATTGCCTTCCCTCCTGATTTTTTTTACCTTATGGAAGAGTCAGACAAAGTTTTTGTTATTGTTCCTCTCTGTGTCCTATAATAGTCTTGTGTTCAACACCTTCCTGATTTTAGAACTCATCCTAGTCAGCTAAGACCAATTAAAATGGTTGTCATTGTCCTCATAGACTCCATAAAACCCCTAAGACTACCTCCTCCAAACATAAATGCAGTAGCAACTATTTAAGAAGAGGCTTGAATCTTCAGGGTAGTTCTAAATTGTAATTCAATTCCCTATCAAGAAAACATCATAACAGCATCTCATGGAGCAAATAACAGTTTATACAGAGAAACATTGGAATCAAGATTTAATGAAAATTTACCTTTCTGGCAAAAACTTGTGCCGGTGTGGTGTCTGATGATCCCAACGCTGGCAAATCTTGCCTGATTCAGTATGATCCATAGGCCCTCGATAGCTTTCCCCATTGCAGGTCATACATTCAACTGATAACATGAAAGGACAGAATGTTAATTGTTTCTGGCAGCAAAGCATAGACACCACTGTTCCATTTAAGGAATAGTAACACAACTGTTTAGTAAACAAATTGACAACTCTATATATCATCCTAATTGGGGCCTAATCTCCACAAATAATAGCATACAATACATCCTATACAATGCATTGTAACTTTCAAGGGGATATTTGTAATTAGTGTCATATAGGTCTACCATTGAGGACAGAATGATCAGTATATACTTTTTCAAGAACTATCCAAAGGCACATGGAAACTGGAAATATAAAATAATCTTTGGTGACTTTTCGATTGTTGGTTAAAAATACAAGAGTCTCAGCATAGTAATTCTTTCAAACTTGCCCTCCAAACAATTTGGATTACACAATTTCATATTCCATAATCAAAAATTAATTTTTTTAAAAACAACTTCAGAAATAGAACAACTGGTACAATTTAAAGGACACGATTATCTTTTTAAAAGAAATTTCAATTCTATTCTAATACAGAGCATTCATTCTGTTAGTTGAGTAGCCAGGACAAGTTTATAGTCTTACCTACCTTAGCATAGAAGATGACCTGCTATCGAACTCCATGTACTCATTCTTTTTAAAATGTATAAGCTGATCTAATTATACAGGATATTATTGATGATTCTGTGACTTAACTAATTATTCTCTTCTGGCTGTTTTCTTATGTCACACTGAAAACCTGTATCATATCAACTAGCTGAAAATGAGACTTCTCAAATAGAAGGTTGCTTTGTAGTGCAGCAAGCATGCTGTGGAATAAATCTTTGCTTGGCTTTCGTAGGAATCCGGCAAATTTCCTCAAACACATCATTTGTATCTTGTGATTACTGTTCATTTAACTTTAGCTGAAGTGAGGAAAGATATCCACTGGAATCTTTCCTAATAAATATTTGTAGCAATTTGGTAAAGTGTATTAAAACTCTCTTCTGAAAATCTATTTTTAAAATGCAATGTAACAAGACATAAAGATTAACTTTCTGAAACATATGATCTATCCATTCATCCATTTGGTACATCTACTTTCTTTCATTTGGGTTAATTCATGAACTAAGACAAGGGACTAATTCAGCTTACTCTTCTTTGATACTGCATCCCTACAACACAATCAGTAAGCACTTGGCCTATAAATGAGAGGGGTCTAAGAGCATGTTGACCGAAACCTTCAGGTTGGCCAACGTCACTTCCCATGTTGAAATGTTCAACACAGATTACGGATCATCATATTTCAGCTTTCCATTTAAGTGGCTTCCACCTTCATTTAGTTCCCTTTTATATTAAGAACAAACAATGCAAAATTTGATATATTTATTGCAAATAGTTTAGTATTTATTATGACTCTTTGTTCTTTTATAATGAATGCAAGAGTAGAGTAAACTACAAATGCCCAGCTTCTACTCTTATATGGGACCTACTGAAGATTCAAATTATGTTTACTGTAATTCTCACAGCATTAGTAGTATATATAATTTTAATGAAAGTGAATATATTTATTTTCTGAGGAAACATACTATGGACATTATTATAAAACATTTTCCTTATATTTAAAGATTCATAAAAAGTTTAAGGAAAATAGCTACACAAATGAAGTCCATAACTATAATGTGACTATTTTCCATAATGAACATGTAATTCAATGCTTCTGCAAACATAATATGGATAAATATCACCATTAGTTCTAGTTCAATGATAAATTTTGACTATGTAAGCATATTCAAGGGCATTGATATAAAAGCTCTCAGTGGATGCTGATGCTGCTAAGTGATTGGATCTCACTTTGCATAGCACATTTTCAGATACTGTGATTCTGAAGTTGTTTTTGGTAGTGATAACACTTTAGGAGATTTTACTTGGAACTTGATGGTACATGATAGTTGAATAAAGTATAATGGGAAAAACATAAAACTAAAATGTTGCACTAATATGATAAAAATAAAAAAACAAGTTAGCAAGAATGTTAGATTTGGAAAGCAAATGAAAACTGTTGTTATATTTGGAATAAAACATATCCTGTGATAAATCTGAAATGTTAAAATATTGTAGCTATATCATCATCAATTATTTATCCTATACTTTTCACATTTAAGATATGGTTTGATAAGTATATCAAAGTAAACAGGCTTATGTACATTGTTAGGGACTTACCTAAAACAGAGCACATTAAGCCTGTGTCTAGAAGAGGTCTTCAGAACTATAGTCTACAGTCCATTCCATTACCGAAGATTTTAATTTTGTGCTACATACATTAGCTTCTTAAAAATACTAACCAGACAGACTGATAATGTGGTTTTATGAGGACAGATTCCCTGCTTTTTTTTTTTTTAATAAATTTCTGCATTAACCTCTACTTTCTTACAAGAATACATTCCTCTCCTGTTGAAGGATAAAAAAGGCCTTGGGAAAGCAACTAGATTGGGCAGTGTGTATGAGGCAAATGACAGAGAAGTTTGTTGCATTATCACTGAATCAAACTCTGATGGTTACAAAAAAAAGTGCCTCAAGTAGACCACATTTTAAACTCACTTTTCAAATTTCTGGAATTCTAAGAGTCTTCTGTTTTTTCCAGGTAAAAATCAAACAGGTATAGGTGGAAACCAAGTCCAACTTCTACAAAAACAGGTAAAAGTTATGACCTGTGTAATTGGGCAGGGAATAAAAATTGTACCTTGGGCTGTTGCATAATTTAACCTTTCCAGTAAGCCCTTCACTTCTCAAAACAAAGATATTATTCTTTATCATGTAAAATGAAACTAAGTAAGAGTTTCATAAGTATAACCTTCTAATCACAATTCTGGCTTGATAGGAAAAAGCTTTTAAAAACATACAAATTAGAATATAAATATTCATTGAACAATTTGTGTCATGCTAAGTAACTAAACTAAAAATATTATGTACTATTCTCAAGCATAAGTCTACAAGTGGTGTGAGTTTTCATAGTAAAACAGATTAAGTATTTAAATCTATGTTGAATCAGTATTTTATCCTGGTAAAGGTTATCTCTTAGGAAAACCCAACAGTCAATTTGTTCAGCAAAACTGTGTGATTAAAGTAAGAACACTTTCATCAATCCTCTTTTATATAAAATTTGTTTTTAAATCTTTGTTTTTGAAAGTCTTTTTCCACATATAGTATGTAATTTTACATAAAATGACAGTATTATTTGGGATTTAAAGTATAAGGTAACTTAAAAATAATGGTTCTGACTTAATTAAAATTGATTTATGTGACTATTTAGCAATCATTAAAATTGACGCTTGTTTCAATTACAATGATTATTTTAAACCTAAAATACTAAAGTAATAAATTTAGGTTTTCTATACCTCAGGTTTCAGCAACAAATTAAGTATTGTTGATAGTAATTTTTTGTGTGCATTTTATGTGAAGATTTTTCTTCCTTGAGTCTAGATAAAAAGTACACATATTTTGTGAAGTACAGTATGCACACATTGTAGATTAGCTAAATTTAGCTAAAAACAAACATGTTTTAGTTCATAGTGTTATTTTTGTTCTGAGTACACTTCTTAGCCAGTCTCATTATTTTTTGAGAACACAATATATTAACTATTGTCAAAATGTTGTATAATTGTTTTTTTGAGTTTGTTACTACTAAAAAAATCTAAATGTGGTAAGATCATTCAGTTTCTTTTGCAAAGACTAATGGACTTCAAAATTTTTAATTAATTAATATTTTAATAATTTAATTAATTAATAATATTAAGCTTTGTGTATCAGATACAATGCAATTATGAACCAAATTTTTAAACAATTTTCAGACATTCATTCAATCAATTTGCCAAATATTGTTATACAAATTTTTAAACATATATACTATTCTATATGTCTTTTGTAAAAAGTAATATTGATCACAGGTACTTGCCTTGTGATCAACTTTAATTTTAAATATACAAAATGATTTAGTCATTGCTATTTCACACATAATGATATACACTTTGATAAATTCATATTCATGGATAGAAGTGGCCCACACATTCATTATACTGTTTTAAATATGCTGGATGTTATGATTACTCACTTTTGTATGTATCCTAGTAATCATTGACACCATAGCTGCATTTTTTTATGTTTTGTGGTATCCGTTGTATACATAGCTCTTTTTATCCCTCTATGAATGTACTAACACTACTATTTACTTTGGATAATTTTCATTAAAAGCCTGCTAAAACATTGTTCATTTTTTAGCAGAGTTCACCTCATATTCCCTGTAATATGTTTTGTCTACAGGGCAGGTGCTAGTTCACCTCTCCTACAGGAGGCCCCTTCTACTCCTGCCAGCCTCCTAATTGTTTCCAGAAAGAGTGAATCTGAAAGCTAGTGTCCAGGAAGCAGAATGCCTTCTGGGTCTTTAATACTATTAAGCAATGTCCTCATCTAAGGGAGGTTTGGTCACCTCAAATTTTCTGTAATGATTTAATACCAGATAATTACATTCTGATAAGCATAGTTTAATTAAAAACAGTTAACAATTATATTTTGGGGGCTGGGAAGGTGGCTTAGTGGTAGAGCGCTTGCCTCATATGCATGAGACCCTGGGTTCGATTCCTCAGCACCACATAAACAGAAAAAAAGCCAGAAGTGTCACTGTGACTAAAGTGGTAGAGCACTAGCCTTGAGCTGAAAAACCAAGGGACAGTAACCAGGCCCACGACCAACAAAAAAAAATTACATTTTGTCAATGATTTGTGATCTCAGAAAACTAATGCTGGGGATTTTCCTAAAAGTAGGGTTTTGCTTGTCTCATGTGCAAACTGAAGACAAATATTAACTAGAGACTTATTCATACAAAACAGACTTATTCATTATGTTATCACAATGAGTTTATTATTTGAAAGGAAAAGAAAACAATGAATAGGGAACAGAACGTGACACAGAATGGAAAGTAAGAATTTACAAACCAAGATGGAACTGATTTGAGCACATGAAGGTTTTTAGATTAAATAACAACAAAAAACATAATTCAGCTTCTCTGTGACAATTTGCTAACAATGGCCTTTACTGGTTAAGCAATAAAAATCAGCCTTATATCAAGTGGATGTTCATGGAGGATATTCTTTAAAAAATGTTTCATTAACAGGTAAGCTATCTTAGTACAAAAATCAGACAGTACTTAGCAATCCCAATTCCCATCCCTAAGTAGTTCAAAATCCTAATAAATTTCCTAAAATAATTTAATCTGCTTTTCTTTTGGATTGGAGGAATTTTAGGGATGTTGATGGAAGTAAAAATAGAGCAATTCAGTAGGCAAATAACTAAGAAAAAACAAACCATTATACAATGCTAAAAATGGATATTGTCCATCATTCAGTTATCTACTGTAGAAGTACTGGCAATGCCTTTTGGCGCTATGTGAAGAGATAAGAACACAGGCATGGATGGAAGCCACTGCCTTCAAAGACGGCCTGGGATTCACTGCTTTGGTGTCTTCAGGCACTATTTTGAATGGCACTCAGTTCCAGTCTATGTGTCAAATGCAGTTCTAGTCACATTTTCATCAAAACACACATGGGGTATTGATCTTGAAATGAACCCCTTTAGTGTTCTCTCCTGGATACACACATTTGTTCATAACACACCACAATCATTTTGACCAGATTTCTATAGAAGTAGATACTGGATGAACAGTCATTGGGATTCCTAATAAGAGCTAATTTCATTCAGCTCTTTCTATCTAGAAGAGCAGACTTCTGAGGTAGGTGAGCAAGTAAGTAAGTAAGCTCACAGTTATTCTCCCCAAACAGATGACTCAGGCTCATGTTGAAATTCAAACTGATCATCACTCTACTGTTTTGCATTAGTTTGGTCATTTGAAAAACATGGTGTGAGAATGTCTTATAACTATTGACCTATGGTTGAATTGGAAGGAAAGGCCCATTGTATTGTGGTGGATTCGTTCCTGTTTACTTTTCAAGTGAGTACAGTGCTACATACGAGGGGAATAAGATGCCCACACGGCATTCATGTTCATTTACCTTCTGAACACTGAGGAATGTCACAGACTTCGTAGCGTACCTCTGGATTGCTTGTGAAACACCACGGTCCCCCTTCTTCTCCTCGAGGATTTCGACAGTAGTTTTCCTGTAGGTCTTTCCCCCGATAGCTCGAAGGCAAAAAGCTAGTTTTAAAATGATAATCATTACAGTATAAGAGCATGCAACTTTATGTAGGGCCTATTGATTTTATTAATTAGTGGATATGTTTTTATAAATATAGGAAACTAGTTTTTCCCATCTATCTTCATAATTTTAACTTAACTTCTGTAATTTCCATGTATTCTTAAAAATATTAGAATTCCGTTCAAGTTCACCTGACCAAACTCTCATACTCAATATTAGAATTTAATTAGCATGGCATTGCCACACAATTTCAGCATTCTACTCAAAAGTAGAACACTTTTGGCAAGGTCAATTAGGAGAGAACTGAAAAATCATGTCAATGAACTTGAAGATATTATTGCACAATTTATCTAAGTCATTACCTGCTTTTTTAGTGCTTTTCTTATGCAGAAGAGTCTTTCTTTGGTTCAGCACAATTGAAGAACAGATTAAAGATATTTCATTCATAAAAAAATCAGAATCAATTTAAACTCTATTGTCAGCTTTCTCTTACCAACTATGAAACCCCAGCAAGTAATGCTATTAACTTATCTATGCAATTAAATAACAATAGCTGGTAAAATATTATATCTTATAATGTAGCTTTAAGATGTTCAAAGGCTAATTGACACATAACAAATGTTACTTATGATTAAACACACCCTACTTAGTTGTCTCTAAGAATAGAATTACTTATTCTCTCAAAAACATTTGAATATATCCATGCATGCTGATGAATGCCAGAAATCCCAATTTCTTGAGAAGCAAAGATAGGATAATCACAGTTCAAGACCAGTCCAAGCAAACAAAAAGTAGCTAAGATTGTATCTTAAAAAAATAGCACACACAAGAACAAAACACAAATAATCGAGCTATGTACAGTGGTCAATGCGTATAATCCTAGCTGCTCAGGAGCCAGAAAAAGGAGGCCAAGATCTGAGATCATCCCTGGGAAAATATGTGAGAGTCTATCTATAAAATAAGCCAAAGTAAAAAGGTCTGGGGGCATGGCTCTAGTGCTTACCTAGTAAGCATGGGGCCCTGAATGCAAACACCAGTATTTCCAAAAAAGAAAAAAAAAGATAGTCATCTTAATAATATTTTTGTGTTTGGAGCTTGGTGCTCTCAGGTTTAGTTCAAACTAGTCAGTCCCACACTGGGCAGTACTTTCAATACATCATCTTCACCTGAAATTTCTAATGCCTTAGTAGTAGTTTTCTTGAACAGGCATAAAATATTCCATCATATCAGAACAGGCCAAACCAATGTTTATCTTGTATTGTTTATAGTATTGGATCCAATGATGTATAGATGGCTGCACACAAAAATTATAAAAACATAAGACCAGTAAAAAATTTTATGAAAAACCAAATTTATTCTTAGTATTTAGTTAGGTCTTACTAAAGCAGTTTATTTCTCTTTTACTAAGATTAAAGTTCTACAAAATTCTAAAGTCCAAGAATTTTAATGTCTCAATAAAGATGGCCCTATTCAATGAGGCTTCTAGTTTAAAAAATGTATAGGCCAATTAATTACCCTGAGTTGTTAATACACATAAATCAGAACCTTACATTGTACTTTATAAATAGACATGGGCAACAAGAAACAGAAAGAAAAACAAAAAATTTGAAAAAAATCACATTATGATATGTTGCAACACAGAGTAAGCCCAACTATACATCAGGTACTAAGGAACATTTTGAAATGAGATACTTGCGTTTGGTCATCATCATACCGCAGAGATGAGTATTCAGGAAGTATAAATTAGTGGTCAAAAAAGTCTATTCTAAAAGTTTTACTACTAGCTAAACATGTTTAGGGAACCAAATTAAATATTATAAACATGTACAACTCCATAGTCATTAGGTAGAGAGTTATATCCTTCCTTCACTAACATTTCAAGTATGTGAAATGAAAATAAAATATCAGGTCATGTAATGGACAAAAGCTGTAATGTAATTAAAATAAGTAAACTATCACAGTTCATGATGCTAATTTTCAAGAAGAATAGGGCCATTTGTATTCTGTCTACATTTTAGCCCCCATCATTCTAGAATATTTGTGTGTCTTTTGTTTGTGACATTGTCTGAAATTTACTCTTTTTCATTTTTGACACATTTCTAATTTATATAAAATACTCACTTTTTCTGACAGAAACCAAACTGAAAATTATATTTTTATGAAGTAATGCACTTCCCAAGCTTATATAAGAAAATTCTCCTGTAATTCTCTATTATGTGTACATGTATATATATATATATGTATTTGCACATATATATATAGAGAGAGAGAGACAGACAGAGAGACAGAGAAAGAAAAGATACAGAAAGACAGAGAGACAGAGACAAAGAGATAGAAATAATAATTGTTCATCACAAGATGCACATAGTTGCCTCAAACACCACCTAACCACTTGACTGGTACTGACATAAATCCTTAGAAAATTTATTTACCAAGTTACAATTTCTTCTTCACTTTTAAAAGATGATTAGAATGAAATAAAATAAAATTTAAAATAAATAAATAAAAGATGATTAGAATGAACAAGATATAAGCAACACAGAAATGTTATTTTTCTGTGTCATTTTTATATTAAGTTTACTTAGGAACTAAAGAGTGATTTTAACACATTCTATACACACATATACACACATACTCACTATGTACAATATTAGAGAGGATTATTTTTCCACACACAAAAGGGGGAGAAGGTAAATTAAAATTCACTCTCTCTTTCTTACACACACACACACACACACACACACACACATACACATACACACACACACACCCTCACACACCACTATAGTAAACTTGTAAAGTGATACAGAAGATGTATAGAAATGGTGAGTGTATCAGCTAGTAATTTAGTAAGAAAGAAGAGGTTGAAAAGAAAAGAGATAAAATAGAAATTAAAACTAGATATGGCCAAAGGACAAAAATAGCTTTGTCCAATTAACTCCACTGAGTAAATAAAATGAATAATACAATGAAATGATAAACTCATTTATATAACTGAATCAATCAATTCTGAACAATTTCCTCTTTAAAACATGAAAGGAATGAATAACCAATGATGATCTTCTCTTTGTTCTTTGGTGTATTTGACTTTTACACAAATTAATTAGCTTTCTTTGATGTCCCAAAATGTCATAAGAATTTCTTCAACCTCCCATACTTGGCCAAGGGATGTAGCCTAGCTCTTTTCACTTATAGGTATGTGTTCACTGGACAAAAGTTTATGACACTTACTTCACACAAGGCCTGTGCCAGGCTTTTGATGCCATAATAAGCTTTGATTCACACATGTACTAATTTTAGTGTTTTGTCCTTGCTGTTAACAATGCTTTAAGAGATAAGTGAAGAAATATTTGAAATTGGGATATATCCAAATGTACTTTGAAATATAAACTAGGTCTGGGTGCTAGCCTCCCTTTCTTTTCTTTTTAATATAAACTGCAGTCATAGGAAACTTGATCCATTCTATCATCTACTTCATAAATGAATGTGGGGGTAGCTAATGAAGGATATAGATGTAGATATCAGGTCACCTGATTATCTGGTTAAGCTTCTACATTAATTTCACCATCTATCATCATCTTTTCATTAAGCCACTTGTAAAATATTTCAATTTAGGGAGTCAACAATAAATCATTCCTCCAGACAAAAATTTATTTCTTGTTTAATTTTTGCATTGTCCCCAAAATGTATCTTTAAGCTATCATGTAGGTACTCCAGTAAGTTGCTAATTGATGAAAATTGTTATTCCCACTGGATACAAAAAAAAGTATAAGAATATTATCCTCTAAGCTGTAAACTTCTGTATTATTGGTAAGCTGGTTGATTGGACTGGCAAACCAGTTCCCAGGGAGATCTATTTCACATGTGCTTCTGGAGCAGAGAATCACAATCATACAGAATTTAGGTTGAAATAAGACCTCTACTAGATCAGTCCAATGCACTTTCCTAGGCTAAGGTGGGATTCATTTCAAATGCTATTTCTTTGATCGGAAGAACCTTAGAACTGCTTATTTAAATACACAAGTTTTCTAAACTATGCAGACCTTTTAGAAGAGGAAAAATTTCTTTATTTAGAAATATAAAGATGACTGTTTCTGAAGTATTCCTATGCAATTGTTAGTAACACAAAGAAAAATTGTTTGGTTTTTTTGTTGATGAACTACTATAGTAGGGGCAGATCAGCTTGGCTAGTGACTAGTTGGTATTAATGAGGTCAGGTTTGATCCTGGTGTAGAACACACACTTTGTGTGCAAGGGTAATTGACTTATCTGTTTACTAAAACAAACTCCATCCTCTTGCAAGATTATGTCTAAATATGGAATGAAAATTGTATTCATCCAAAGTCATCGCATTTTGCTATTGCAAAACTGAGTAACCACATGTGTCCTACTGACAGGCCAGCTGTTTCATGCCCTGGGGTTATTGAAAACAGAGGTTACAGAGTAATACTAGCTAGGAGTATATCCTACGCAAACCACTTTCTACTTGTGTATCATCCTGAAAACTATTAAGGTTCCTTGTGTTTTTGTTGAACCATGTATATAAAGTAGAACTCATAAAACCACCCCCTACTGTTTTTGTGAGTATTGCATAAAATAAACCAGTAAGCTGCTCAGCAAGGTACTTGGCACATGGTAAACTAATCCCCCAATGTACTTATTGACAAGAAGAGATTTCTTTTAAAAACAACATTGGCTATTCTTTAAAATATTTGTAAAGTAAGTCTGGAAAATGCTGACTGAATTCAGTCCTCTAGTAGGTTTTATATATTTATCTTGTTCCTCCTATGATGATTAAGATTCTCTATCTTCTGACCTTATGAATATGTTTTCTAGTCATTAAGTAGTAGTCTTCTGTTTTAATAAACACAATTATCTCCAGTGTAGCCATTTAGCTTCTAAAACCTGAATTGTCTCTATTTTTCAATCAAGATATGAAATGAAAAAGTACATAAATCTGAGGCATGACCTTTTAGCAATGGTTCTCGATTTAATTCACCTGAAGAGCTTTCAAAAAGCTGGGTAATATATTCCTTCTAGAAGTTCTGATTTAATTGTTTGGTGTTGTGGGATGTTTGCAAGACTTGCAGTTGAATATTTTTTAATTTGTAGCCAATGTTGGGTTACAGAGGGATAAAAGGACAATTAGCTTCCACAAGTCAGAGTCTAAAACACAGTCAACATCTTTGGCTACATAGTTCTTTCTCAAAGGCCAAAATGAAGAAAACACTGTCTTAAATAAAGTTTTCATTATTTGTTCAAATATCAAGATCTATAAACTGCATTAAGAAAACATTAGGCCACAACTTAAATGATAAATTTGTTCTTCTTTTGATATAGATCAACATGAATTCATAAATCCCTGGGCTTCCTAAAGGGACTAAGTCTCTTTACAACTCAACAGTGTTGACTATAGGTTGTTCTAGAATTGTAACAATCTTCTCGAATACTAATTTGAGGCCATTAACTCCCAGAAAGGAGAGGCTCCATTCCTTTTCTTCATGCTGTTCTTACCTGTGTTCGTGAGGTATCATGGAATTCCAATGCTGACACTTGATGCCACTCTTTGTGATAGACACTGTTCCCTTGTAGCTTCCCCCTTTACCAATGATGCAGTTCCTAATGTAGTCTATGGAAGAAAGTAGAGAAATATGCTATAACTGTGAATCTCATGCTAGGTTTACTGAATAGAAAAGAAAGATTCCATTGAAATCTGAAAGTAATTAACTCTTGTAAACTATTTCAAATAACACTGAAATTTCTTGCCTAAAGCTTCAAGGAGTATTTTCAAAATAGCACATTTCATAATAATCCAAACCAAACAAATAAAAGTGTATTGAGAAGCTTTAATATTGTGAGTATAGTTTTCATGTGTAATTACAGAAAATAGTCACTGAAAGTAAGATTAGCTGTTATAAAGAAGGTGATTGTGATCTGCTAAAATATAGGGAAAATAGGTAAGAAAATGATAAAACAATTTTTTTCAAAATCAATTTAAATTTAAAGGATTATATTTGCTAAATTTCAGCTATTAAGTTATAATTAAGTGATAAGATGCTATATATTCCCAACAAATAATAGTAAGTGTACCTCTTAACAAAACTAGAAGAAACATTAAAAATGTTCAACAAGAAATATACTCATTACCTTACTCATGTAACTTTAACCCCTTTGTACAGCATCTTTACAATAAAATAAAATTTAATAGAGAATGAATTTATGCTAGATCATGAAATCTTATTTATAATTTGTAGAATTATTTGTGTAGAGATTATTCTATTTTGTACCATGAAATTTACTTTGAATTTTATTAAACATTAACCCAATCAACATGAAAACATACATATATAGCTTCAAATATCTAAATTTAATAGGACAAAACAGGTTTAATAAAGCATTAATGGTAACAAAAGTGTTTGTCAGAAGTAATCATAATCCATAATTATTTTGTCATGACATTTAATTTGTAAAATTAATATGCATTTAATATTCTAAGATTATCCCATCACTGCATTACTCATCCAACACTGTTAAAAGTAGAAAATATCCCAGCCAACTCAAAACATGCCACAATATAATGTATTAAAATTTAATGATGCAAGATCGCACCTTTTAAGGTGAACATAGAAAATATATTCTTTGAAAAAAGTGCCAAGAGAGAGCGGGGAACCTGTATTATAGATACATTTGGGACTCTGCTCTACAAACTAGAGAACCATACTAAAAATAAGATACAGACTTCAAAATAGATCAACATATAATAGAAAGGTGTGGGAAAGAACCATGTGGCAAAACATTAGAAAGTATATTTCATACTTTACTTCACTATGTAATCATTAGAGAACAGCCCCTTACCTTTGTTTTCATAGAGGTCGAATTCATGGCCAAACCCTTTTTTCACTCCACTAGACATGCTGTTGAAGGGGAACCAGAGACATCTTTTTCTTGCTTTATCAAAAACAAAGGCCCTGAAAGAAATATCTGAGTGAAAAGAAAGAATACTACTATTTAACCATTTTTAAAGAATGGGCCCATGGTTTACCAAGGAGGGCAACATAAAAAATGATGCATTACTGCATTTCATATAGATAATAAAATGCAAATGATGTACAAACCTACAACTTGACAGTAAAACAGCAGAGAACAAATGAAGTTTTTTGCAAAAAAAATTAAATATGAGATCTTGGGAAAGTTATTGCTATTCTAAATAACTTGTAGAAAAATAATGTCTTCAACAAACAGAATCAACATGTAATACAAAAACCTAGATTATTTCTGAATATGTCTTATTATTTCTTGAATTTTCCCAGAAAGTTGGAAAATTTGATTGCAATTATATAGAGCTAATTCAGTTTGAGATATCATGATTAATTTCCAGTTCTAACTTTATAAAACACATCCTTAAATGACATTTTCTAAGGTACATCTAAGAGATTATCATCCTAAGAAGTCTCCTAGGAAAGAGAAATTTGAAATCAAATATTTGAAACTTTTAGCATAAAATCTCTCCAAAAATCCTAAAATATTAACAACTATTAAAATTTTGCTATAAAGTTAAAAATGCTAAAATATTAAAGACTATTAAAATATTGTTATAAGAATAACTACTTTTTTAAGCCAATTTGGGCACTGTCCCTGTGCTCTTCAGCTCAAGGCAAGCGCTCTACCACTTGAGCCACAGTGCCACTTCTGGTTTTCTAGTGGTTTTATTGGAGAGAAGAGTCTCTACAGACTTTCCTGCCCAGGCTGGCTTTGAACCGTTTTCCTCAGATCTCAGTCTCCTGTGTACTTAAGGTTACAGATGTGAGCCACCAGTGCCCGCTTTTTAAATGCCCCCTGGGAAAAAGGGTGCAGGGTTTCTAGTTTGGTGATCCTTTTAATCTTTTTCTCTCATTCTTTTGCAATGATATATTCTCTAAGAGAAGGATTTTATTACTATTTTACATTTCCATATAGAGTGTAAAGCCATCAAATTACATTCATTGTCTTTTCTTTTAACTGTGGCTTTAAGAAGGGGAAACAAAGGAGGAGGCAACAATGCTTGATAAGAAATGTACTCATTATCTGCTCATGTAATTATAACCCCTCTGTATGGTATTTTCACATTTAAAAAAAAAGAATATTTGTCTTACCCTTATTTTAATTATCAGCTTTTCTGAACTGTATTTTGTCTATCTTTGAATTCTTACGTCAGGGAAACTTTGACTACAGTGTGGGGGAAAAAAGATAATTTGATTCATTAAGAACAGAATTTAAGGATTTAGTTTTTAAGGCTTGTATGCATACCATGATATACACATCTAATCTCCATAACCAATGTATTTAGTGAAGGTGGGAAAAATCTTGTCTTTCTGGGCAGAAGCACATTGGCTAATACACAGGTAATATTATATACACCTTCATGTGTATTTATGTATATGGAACAGGTTGCCATACACTCAGATACTAAATATGATCTAACTAGATTATGGTAGAAAAATCTGAGACTTCATATATGAGACATAAGAATATATATTAATAAGGTCATGTAGTCTCCAATTCAGCAAAATCTTTCTAGTTTACAATAAGAAAAAAGAAGTAAGAATGATGAATTCTACTATTGAGTGGTAGAAATACTTTTCATACTTGTGAACCTAGGAGAGGATATTTTCAAATGTAAAATTAACAGTTCAGTGTGGTTCTCCTAGTACATTTGCTGTCTCCTTCAAACCCCAAGAAAAGACAAATACAGTTCAAACTGCTGTGTTACCAAAAAATATCACAGACAATACAGTTCAAACTGCTGTGTTGCCAAAAAAAATCCCTATAAATCCACATAGCTGAAGTGTTGATTGAAATTATCCTTTTCTAACTTCCCTGTTTTCACTGTATTTGATGTTGGTGTAATTTGGGGAGGGGAAGGGAAAAAAGAAATTGTTTAAATAGGGATACAAGTGGACCCATTGCAACAGTGAGATGTACAAAATGTTATGTCGAAAAACGAACTTTACAACTTTGGTGGGGGGGTGGGAGGGGATAAGGATGGGAAGGGATGGGAAGGGGAAACAAAGGAGGAGGCCACAAAGCTTGATAAGAAATGTACTTATTACCTTGCTCATGTAATTGTAACCCCTCTGTACAGTATTTTCACAATTACAAAAATCATAAAGCTTTCACACAAAAGTCTGGAAAGGAAATAAAATTATCTTAGGGATAGAGTTGCAAAGTCAATTCCCAGTCTCCTTGCCAGGAAATATCTCTCTGAAAGTGGTAGTTTGTCTATAAAAATAGAAAGGACATATCTTCCCCTCTGCCTATCTTGAAGACCTTCCCTGACCAAGTCCTTTCCCTGAAGGCTTAAATGCTTAGTTCTCAGAGACAGGCAAGATTAAATTAGTATCTCTCTCTGTGGCCTTTATGTGTCACTGTCCAAATGTAATAAACCAGAATGTGAAATCCACAAAACTTTATGCGCAGTCTTATTTTACATTGGGGTGAAATACAGACTAAAGGAATAGAAAATTAATGAGGGGAAAAGATGTTTATGAACAACATGGTAAGATATCATCTTCTGGAATGCAATGGTCACTTTTCAGGTCCAAATTTATGAGTTTTATCCACTGTGATTGCTGGCAAGATGGTAAGCAATGTTCCTCCTTGTTATGTCACTGCATCTGTGTTAGGTCACTCAGCCACTGTTAGGGACTGTCAGAAGGTCTGGAAGTCTCCAGCTGAGTTCCCTTGGGCCTGTGAGTTACTCCATCACTTTTCACCTGAACCCTCATCAACACTACCTCTACCTCCCTTTAAATAGCTAGCGCCATCTCTGCTGCTGACACAAATTTCTCAGGTTTTGTTTTTGTTTTTAATCTATTCCTTTCAACACCTTTTATTTAAATCCCTAAAGACAACAGAAGATGTAATAAATTTTGACTGAGGCTTGATTTTAATTCTGAAAATCCTTCTACTTTTCTTACAAGGGAATAAATGTTTACTCTGAATACAATGTTTTAAAATGAAAAGTTAAATGTCAGCTGATTTGATTAGGTTTCTCTAGTTTAATTATTCAAACGATGAATGAAAAAATCCATAACCCAATCCCCTGTATACTGGAATGCACATTTAGTAGTCTCCCGCACTACAGCTATATGAACATCAACTGACAGCTAAGTCTTTTATTATAATTAGAACTAGACTCAAGCTTAATGTGAAAGATTAACAACATTGAACATGAAACTAAGAAAAACACCATTATCATATATACCTGCTATATTTGAAAATTATCCTGAGACCAAAATGAAGCAACTTACTTGCAAGTGAATGGAAGTCCTTTATTCCTAATACATCTATTTGCACACTGGTCTGCTGTGTTCATTTTTTTTGTCTTAATCCTCAGTAATGGATCTTCTTTGATTAGAGTAGTCTTGGCTGACTTTTTGAATTCATGAAGTGTATTTCTTCTTTTCTTCTGTCCCGCTATTAAAACAAAAACCCAAAATAAGGAAGAAAGAAATTATTTAAGGCTGATAATGAAAAAAAAGCTTACCCTTATAGAATATGGGTAATGTGACTATTTTATCTGAAAACATACTCAATTTCCAGAGGCTGGGATGGAGTGACATGGGAAATAGAAGTAAGAGGAATATTGTTATCAAGTAAAAACAAATAATATGCCATGTAGACTTACTTATCTACATTCCTTCAAGTGAAGGATGCATCTAAATATTAGGACAAGGACCACCCCAAAGAAGTAAACAAATAACCCTAAGAAAATAATTGTTAAATAAACAATTAGTACAGAGTTCAGCCTAAAAATGTTCTATTCTCCATATGACAAGGAAGCACATTTCAGTGATAGAAGCATACTGGGTCACACATCACAGTTAAACAGTTCATGTTCTTGTACAACTATTCCTAATTTAAGTTAGAGTGATAATTGAATAAGGTAATTCAAAAGCCAATGAGAAATTTCTCAGTAAAAATGCTGCAGTGGACAAATTTATCTGATTTGTTCTGTAATGCATACTATTCATAGTTTAGTCCATCTCTTCTTCTCGTTTACTACATAAGTGTTTTCTGTGCTTTGGTGAACTATTTCTTAGTATCACTGAACTGTTTGTCTTGAGATCAAGCCAAATGTTATAAATCAAATGTATGTAAAACTTCACCCGTTAATGTAGCAATATCATTTTTCTTTTTGAAAGTACAAGACCTCTAGATAGCATGAAACTTCCTACTAAAAGCCTCAAAGAGGGAACCAAAGTATCCTAAAAGCCTTATGGACATTTTGAGAGTGCTAAGAATTTATTTCCCTGTTCTCGATTTTTCCCCTGTCACCCCAGTCTAATAATAATTTGTCGCATCACAATATGGACTTACGCGTCTAATAGACTTACACATCTATCATAAAAGAGGTATGGAAGTGACTGTGCCTCTTGGCCTGTCAATCATTTGAACACATAACAAAAGAAGATTCTTGGGCTGGGAAGGTGGCTCAGTGGTAGAGTGCTTGCCTTGCATGCATGAGGCCCTGGGTTCGATTCCTCAGCACCATATAAGCAAAAACAAAAAAGCTGGAAGTGGCACTGTGGCTCAAGTGGTAGAGCACTAGCCTTGAGCTGAAGAGCTGAGAGACAGCGCCCAGGCCCAGAGTTCAAGCCCCACGACCAGACCCCAAAATAATAATCAATTAAAAATATTTTTTCTAAGTAGATTCTTATTGGAAACTCAACTGCCTAACTTCACTTCTACCACTTGGAGTCACTTTCCATAGCATCTTTTTCTAAGTATTGAAAGAATGTGTGTAGAAATATAATTTATAAACTTTTTCTAAAGAAGAAATAGGGATGATAAAGCAGAAAACACACTCCTAGTCTTCATAAGCACTGAGATGTGTCAAGAAAAGGGGAAAATTTCCTATGTAGAAAATTTGGAACTATGGTTAGCAGAGTGAGATACAAAGAATAGCATCATACCTTAAATTTGCCAGCAACCACTGGCTCCAGTTGGTGTACTCAGCATGCAGATGCTACTCATTAATGTCTATTCTAACCTGAAATCCACATAAATAAAGCAAACACATGTGGTACTCTTAACTAGCTCTCTGTAAAACTCCAACAGTCTCCAAAAGCCTGGCACTAATTCTGAATGATGCCTTCATTTTTAACTTCTCATTGCCCTATAAAATGGTATGGCTATGGTACAATAGACACTGTTAAAAAGGTATTTTAACACAGAAGTTAAATCAAGCAAATAATCTATCATCATATTATTTAATAAGCGTGGGCCAAATGCTTTGTATAACATTGGCAGGCAGAAGATAATTCTGACTTTCTTACAGACTTGCCAAATGACTGTGTTGTAATTACTTGAAATGTTAATAAAGCAATTAACCTACAAAATACATTGTATTAATAATGATGAATTGAAAGGAGTTACTTAAACTATAAGCATTATGTTAATATTTACTGCTCAATTTGGGTAAAATATTATAAATATTTTGAGTTTTAATTTTTGTTTTAAACATCTTTTTAATCAAAGAAAGGATAATTCTTTAAATTTTGGTTTTGGACACAGAAGTGTTAAGGCAAGTTTTCCACTTACAAGTTCCTCCTTCCTTTAAACCTTACTTCCCTATTTTTTGGTGCCCTGGAATATTTTACAACACTATCATAAATTGATTCTGCTGTAAATTGCAATGTTTTCAAAGAAGTAAATTGGCAATCATTGATAGAGAAAAAAATCTATGTCAAAAAAAACTGTCCACCAAAATGAAAGAAATATGTATACTTCTCAAATGAATATTATTAACTAAAATAGAGAACTAAAATTGAAAAAAATGATTGCCTATGTCTAAGGATAAGAAAGTACACAATATCAAGGTTGTGGGTGCCAGTGTCTCATGTCTCTGTAACCCTAGCTACTCAGGAGGCTGAGAAGTGAGGATCATGGTTCAGCCTTAGCAGGAAAGTTGGTGAAACTCATCACCAATTAAACACAAAAGAGCCAGAAATGGAGCTGTGGCTCAAGTGGTAGAGTGCTAACCTTGTGCATTAAATTCTGAGGCTGTACCCAGGCCCTTAAAAAACCCAGGACTGGCATATACATACAAAAGAAATCTCAAGAAGCCTAAGCTAAACATTAAGCTTCTAATCTATTTTATTCATTATTAACTAAAATAGAACCACAATCACTGCTCTGGTTTCTGTTCTCCAAAGCAATCAATCTTCAGGTAAGCATCAAATCTATGCTTGGGAGATTTCTCTGTGCAATAGTGGGCCTCAGAGACCCTCAATTGTTCTATTGAAAAGTGTTAACATTTTGCTTCTACATCATAAAAATAGCTTACTCCACTTACTGGTCGGTTTTCGTCGCTAAAGATGAAAGCAAATTCTAAAAATAAATAAATCTGTAGTATTCATTTGTTACATGATAAGCAGAAATAAGACTTATCTGGGAATACAAAAGTAATCAGGAACAATCAGAACCACAGACCAAGATTTCCTCCTCCCTAGCCTCTCATGACACATGAACTTTCCCTTAGAAGTCAGTCATTTATACCAGGCCAGTAACTACAACTACTCAAAAATAGGATGTAATGAGTTATATGTCATGTAATCCACGAATCTATAAAACTAATTACTTAGTCAATTAGAGAAAGATTCAAAACAGAAGTCATTCAAAAACAGCATCTGAAAATAAAATTCTTCAGCTGAAAATAGTTTCTACTTTTTCTTCCATATGTATTAACAACTGATGCTTGTTTTACTGAAAACAGCTAAAAGCCAAACTTAATTTGGGAAGAAACTCAAAAATATCTTTGGATCTGATTTTTCTCTACTATTTTTTAATGTGTGTGACTGTCAGTTGAAGTTTATAAACAAAATATTGAAATGAAATCAAAGGGTGAGAGATCATTATACATTTGTCATGCTTTCTTGTATTTTTAAATTACAATTTCTTTTTATTTTTCCTTGTCCCTGTATGGGAACATATTTCCTGAAGAACCTGAAATCCCTATTTCAGGAAAAAATCAGCCTCCTAGTGTAAACCTACAAACAGAAAGCAGGGTCAAATATATCAAGGTGCTTGAAGAAAGACACATTTCTCCCTCCAGTCCCAGGGTTTCACACTCATCTCTCAGTACCTCATATATTTTCTTCTGTGTGGATGAACCAGTGACTTCAAAGGGAAACCTGGCAAGAAAAGGATTTGCAGAGTGTGGAAAGAAGCAGGAATCTGGCTCCACATAACTGAGAAAGCTATCTACTGATTAGTGATTAACAGTTTCAACTGGCAAGATATTAAGATGAAAGAATTAAAACTAATGAATTGGAGGAATGGTTGTGAATGCACATTTTAAATTTGTAGGAGACAAAAATCACAAATCAAAGTTCAGACTAGCAATGTTATTTTCTAGGACTAAGATTTCACTTGTTGATAATCATCTGCCCTTCTTTGAAGAAGACAACATCACAAATAAAACCTCAAGAAGAAAGAAGTTGCTTTCAAATGCTAGTATTTGTCAAACAACATTATAGTCTCACCCACAGAGATTCCTAAAATGATCAGTGTGATGTTAAGAGCTTCTTCCTCCTTGTTTCCTTGTGCAGGGCTTAATGGTTACAGAAGCATCATCCTGGTTTTTTTTGCCCTTACTGACTACAGCTCTCCTTCCACATGGCAACTGAATCAATGACATGGAATAATAATCAAGTATCTTATCGTTGCAAAACCTTCAGCTGCTGGCCGGCTGTATTCACTGAGAGAAACACTGGCTCATCATGACACTCATTGTTGTCCATTCTATCTCGTTTTATTCTTCCAATCAAAAGCTGTAAGCTCCAAATGATTCAGTTCACATGCAGTGTAGACAGAAGTCTTTCTGGGGAAACAAAATTTTTCACCTCTACAGATTTGGCCACTTGTGCTCTCCTGACTTTGTACCATCTAGGCTATTATTCTATGTATCATGTCTGATATGAATACCACATACTTCCTAAACCTTGCTTGATCCTCTAAACTAGGAATGGATGTTCACACATGCTAGTTCTAACTAGAGAAGTGTTTTGCTTTGTTTCTTTTTTGGGTTTTCTTTTTGTTGTGTTTTACTTAGCCAAATGAGTTTTTGAAAGCAAATTTAATTTATTATGCTACGACTCACTTGAGTACAAATAAAAGAATAAAAGAATTACCTCGTTCCTTAACATAGATTCACTAGGAAACTCATTTCTGTCCCTTACCTAAGAAAGGTAATAAGATAATTAAGGTATTTAAACCTCAATTTTCTATGTAAAATAAACTCAATAATGGCAATTATATTAAACTAAAAGTTTTACTTTAGAATGTGGCCTATAGTAATGCTGATTTCCTTTTCTATATACGTTCTTTTTCTATTTGTTCATCTTTATATAACCTGAAAACTTTTGGACATTAAGTACTTATTTATTTTTTCCTCCTCCTCCTCCTCCTCCTCCTCCTCCTCCTCCTCCTCCTCCTCCTCCTCCTTCTTCTCCTCCTCCTCCTCCTCCTCCTCCTCCTCCTTCTTCTTCTTCTTCTTCTTCTTCTTCCTCTTCCTCTTCCTCTTCCTCTTCCTCTTCCTCTTCCTCTTCTTCTTCTTCTTCTTCTTCTTCTTCTTCTTCTTCTTCTTCTTCTTCTTCTTCTTCTTCTTCTTCTTCTTCTTCTTCTTCTTCTTCTTCTCCTCCTCAGAGGATAGAATATTTATTTCCAGTGTAAATTTGCGTGGATAAAGAATTCTAAGCAAAAACTCCTCCTATATGGGGCCAGGTACTGGTGGCTCATGCCTGTAATCCTAGCTACTTAGGAGGCTGAGGTCTGAGGATCACAGTGCAAAGCCATCCCAGGCAGAAAAGTCTCCATGAGACACTTATCTCCAATTAACCAATCAAAACCCAGAAGTAGAGCGTGGCTCAATGTGGTAGAGCACTAACTTTGAGCACAAGTGCTCAGATACTGCTCCTAGGCCCTGAGTTAAAGCCCTACCACTGCCCTCCCCCCAAAGAAACCACAAAACAAACAAAACCCACCTTTAAGAATTTCAACATATGGAGTATTTCTCAAGAACTTTTAAAAAATAATATTGCATCCTGTTCATAATTGCTTGTCAATATGATATAATATCCACTTCTTTTGTTAAGGATAACCAAAGTAAGGAACAACAACTATGACATTAAAAAGAAAAACCTTAATACGTTGTATGAAAGCAATCTATATCTTCTCATTTGAGAGATTTTTTAAGCAATCAAAATAAACTTGCCACCCATACAAAGACAGATCCTCCTTTGGTGACAATGTTAGCATTATCCACTTCAAGAATTATTCATAACCTACAGCTGTAATTCCCTGTTGGTCCCTCCTTGACTGCCAGCACACACACTTGGGCTGTTTTCTCCCTACATTCAGGAAACGTAGTCATTTCAACATTAGCCAAAGTGAAATATAATTACAAATGTATATCTCCTGCCAAAGCTCCCAAATGCATGCCAAATACAAATAGCCATTGTCTATGGTAGATCCACTGTTTGGGTTTTCTACACTGTATTCTCTCTGCATTACTTCCAATGATTTCAGGTAACAATAATTCTACTTCAGAATAGCAACACTTTAATCTTTAAAATGGAAAGACATCCAAAAATTTGCTCGATTTCCATGCGTATTCAAAATCCCCAAACTAAGAATCCATTTTAACATGATGTGTGTCAAGCCATGGTAAGCTGTTTGATTTGAATTGACTTTATCCCCATCCCCTCCCACTTTCAACCTCTTAGGTGACCCTTTTCAAACAGTGTCATTTTTGCAAGGGGTTACTTCCCCATACAGAAGAAAATCAGAAGGGGTAAATGACTTCCCTTATCATTTATCAAATTCTTGATGTATTACACCAGAAACTAGATCAGAGATGTGTTAGATTTCATATTTAACTTGTCTCAAAAGAGTCAGCCAGTTCTGTTTTTGTTTTGATTTTGTCTTTTTGTATAAAGACCATGTCTGTCATCTGAACATTTGTTTCACTCTTTGTTCTCCTGTGCGTACCCTTGACATTCAGTGCCTTCTCCTCATGGCACCTCAGCCCAGCCACTACAATGACAATACGACCAAATACAGATGCTTCCTGTCGTTCTGATAGTAAGAGAAAACTTCCCAAAGCAATAAATGAGATCTCTAAAATCCCAGGCAGCCTGAATGCTCAGGCATCTCCCCCCAGCCTGGCGGTCCAAGGCAGAAAGTGGGAGGCTGAGAGGACCAGTTCTGCAGCTTTCAGCCCCGCACTTTTTGCCTCCTCTGCAGTGCAGTTTTAAAGGGCAGTCATCCATCCCCAGAAAGGAGAGCTTAGAAAACCCGCTTTCTCTTTCATTTTTATCACATGCATATGCTTAGACTTTAGTCCTGTCTCCTCTAAATGAAAACCTGTACCACAGCATAATCTGGACCTGAGTGATGAGTGGCCCCCGTGTTAGGGAGGGGATTGTTGTAGAAAATGGTCCTGTGGGAAAGTCAAGTCCCTGCTGGACTGACCATAATGTACATCCCGCGCCCTCTCTTCAGACCAGACTCTTTCCGCTTCATGCTTGTCACGAACAAAGTTCCAGATAGCACTTCACTGCGATCCCGTAATTCAGGACTGTTTGGCTAAATGAGATAGGGCTGGGTTGGGAGAAGGGAGGGTGCGGGGAAGGGGAGCCCCGAGTGGATGTGCAGGATCGTTTTGCAAGGCTTTTCCAACAGACAACAAATGTCCAAAGAAATCTAGGAAAGAGGCTGTGAAAAGCCTTGCCACGCACGGAGTTATGCCGGGATGGTAGGAAGAGGTCGTCAGACAGAAGGAAGAGTGCGTCCCACTGGGAGTAAGGAGGCAGAAGGAACTAACCTGCAGAGGGGATGGCCGTGGGCAGCAGAAGGAGGTGTAGGAGGACGGGCTGCAGCAAGAGGACTGGCAGAAGTTTGGTCACCCACATGCTGCTGGCCGACTTGCTGGCGGATCCCACCGGAGATGGAGATGCCCGGGTGAAAAAAGAATCCTGTTCGGAGTCAGTGCCTAAAAGATCCAGTCGGCTCTGGGCTGCTTTTATTGCGATGAGCTAAGTTTGTTGTGTGATTAACTGGAAAGATCTAGGTCTGAACTCCCTCTTACGGTAAGAAACTGTTTAACAACAGCCCTTTACTCTCTTCCAACCCCCCTCCTTTCCTTACTGCCCCCCCCCAACACCCAACAGATCCCACCCCCCCCCAACTCCCCCACTCCTTAAGAAACTTACAAAGAAAAGGTCACCTGGCCGGAGGCCAGCTTTAATTTAGAATCTCAAGCTCCAGATCCTAGTGGCTCCTATCCCAGTAAAGAAGCCAGGAGCAAGGCTCGGCCCAATGGCTACATCAAGGCACAGGCAGGGGACCAATTCGCTCAGTAGAAACAAGAAAATACATGTGTTTACATATCTATTTGGGAAAAGAGGAAGGGGAAGCGACCTAAGAAGAAAGCGAAGAGCTGCCTTTCTGCCAAAAGTGCCCTAGCTCCCAATCGTCTAGTTCCACTGCTCCAGCCATGCAAGGATTCCAAACACAGACACAGGTTCCCAGGGAGTTTAAAGACTGAGAGAGGGGAGGGAGGAAGAAGGGAAGGAAGGACGAGAGGCTGGGGCGGAGGGGGGGTGGGGGGTGGGTTGAGCCCAGGCTAAACCAGCTCAGGTAGAAAGATCTTAAATAAGAAAAGGGCGTGGTGTTATGGCTTCAGAAGAAATAAACAAGCAAGACCAAAGCAGCCAGGTGATCAGGTGGAAAAAAATCACCCTGCCTCTTGATCTGAAAGCAGGCTGCAGGGTAACACAGTGCTAAATTCCCAGGTGGCCACAGATGGATCTGGAGTACCTTCTTCTTAAAATGTGTCTGATTTATCTGGTCATACTTGCTCTCTAAAAATGTTTATGAGGTCAGGATTGTCATTTGCTTGTCCATTACCTGTCCATGACAGGTAAATATACACCTCATCATCATGACCTTGGTACAGTCACGTAACTGCATGCTTATTTACACTGGTAGATATAGGTTTCCAAACTTTCAAGGGAAATCCCTCAAACTATGTTCATTCCCAAATGACTTTTCTTGGAGCCATATGTTTCTGCAGGCACCCACCAGCTTCCTGTCTGAGTTGAGTCTGGGGAGGAAGAAATTGTGTGGGAGTGGAAGGGTTCATAAGTATCACGTTTTGGTGAGATCATTGACTAGACTTCTCCTTTTATTTAGTAGAGGAATCTCCTTTGCAACCAGGAGGATGCTCTGAGTACTTTAGGGAACAGCTTGCTTTCTTGCAAGTGGATTTTGAGGAATAGCTGCTGTTTATCTCTGAAATGGAGAAAAAGGACACCTCTGTGAAGAGAAGAAAGGAAAGTGACCAGAATGTAAGAATGGTTTTGGAGCAAATGTGCTGCTGGACAGATATGGGGGAAACTAACTTCTTCCCCCCACACCCACACCCCAGCTTCTCTCCTTCATTTACAGCTCTCATTGCCTTTCCTCCAGTGCCCTGCCCCCACCTCTAGAAAGGGGAAGAAAGATAAAGAAAGGGAAACAGAGCAGAAAGGGAGTAAAGGAAGAAGCAAAGGAGAAGGGGAGAGAAGGAATGAAGGAGGGAAAGGAAGAGAGATGGGAAGCAAACTGAGCCAGTAGTGCTGGCTCAAGCCTGTAATCCCAGCTACTTGGGAGACAAGGTAGGAGGAGTATCACTGTCAGAGGCTGGCTCTGGGGGAAACTGCAGGACATTTTTCTGAAAAGTAAAGGAACTTTTTTTTCCTGAACAGTAAGCTAAAGGGACTGGTATGTGACTTCTGTGTTTGCTGCTTGCTCTAATCCCCTATCCCCACCCAGCAGAAGAAAAAAAAAAGAGAGGAGGAGGTGGAGGAGGAGGAGGAGGGGGAGGAGGAGGAGGAGGGGGAGGAGGAGGAGGGGGGGGAGGGGGAGGAGGAGGGGGGAGGGGGAGGGGAAGGAGGAAGAAGAAGAAGAAGAAGAAGAAGAAGAAGAAGAAGAAGAAGAAGAAGAAGAGAAGAAGAAGAGGAAGAAGAAGAAGAAGAGGAAGAAGAAGAAGAAGAGGAAGAAGAAGAAGAAGAAGAGGAGGAGGAGGAGGAAAAGAAGACAGCTGAGGAGGGGGAGGGGAAGGGAGGATGGGGAGGAGGAGGAGGAGGAGGGAGGAGGAGGAGGAGGAGGAGGAGGAGGAGGAGGAGGAGGGGGGAGGAGGAGAGGGGAAGGTGGTGGAGGAGATCTGCTAGATAAATACCAGAGACTGTAGACTATCCAAGCAATGAAAGGATTAATAGAACTCTTTTGAGGAATGCATTTATACTACCTTTTCTTATTGCCAGTACTTCTCTTTTTATCATGTTCTCCTTATAAAAACAGAAGCTTTAAAATAATTTGTCAGCTTATCTCTGGTGTTCCAAGTGTTCATTTGGCATTTATTTTTACAATTCATTTACCTTTCTGGAAAATCTTAATCTCAGTCTACTACTGCTGGCCATGAATGGGAATTCTCCTAAGGCATCTCTTGTGCTTTCTTGATCATTAAAGGTGCTTTTAAAGAAATTATATTTTTTTATAATTAAATCTTATAGGTAAAGAATAAAGGAAATCAGGTATTTTTTCTCCTTATTCTCACAGATGAAAAAGATCTAGGATTGTAAGCAAATAATAATGGATCTAAGTTTAGAGTGGACTAGAATTACTGGGTCACTCATTTCCACAATTTCTATTTACATGCTAAATATGGCAAACACAACTTAAACCTACTTACATGTATATACTCATATTTCCTTTTTTGGCAATAATTGTTTTCAATTGTCATTGAAACAAGAGCTAGTCTACCATGACCTTTTACAGTATGCTAAGGATTTTAAGTAACCTAAACCTAAAAGTTTTGGTAAGTCCCATTTTATAATTGAGAAAGCTTAAGTAAATTATTTTAATCTTAAATAAATTATCCAAGATACCCAAGGACTATTCAGACATGAACATCAAATATACTTCCCACACCCCACAAGAGATGATAAATGTCTTTAAACACCATAAAAAGAAAGTATCATAAATTCAAGATTCTATTGATAATGAAACACAAAGAATTTCAGTAAGTATTTATAAAAACAGAGCATCGTCGTGCATGCCTTTATACTCAGCTTTTTGGCAGGCTAAATTGAGAATATTCAGAATTGGAGAATAAACTGGGCAATATAGCAAGACTCTCTTAAAACTAATGATTAATAAATGAATGGAAAACAATTTAAAAATCTCTCAAATTTGTAATGGAATGTTTCAATAAAATAAATAACTTATTATGTTATCATTTCACTTTATCTTGCTAGCATATTCTCCTTTTTCCTTGTAAATCGCGAGTGGTTTCTGCAACTCTTGCTAATTTTCTAAAACAGTTCTACAAATGCCCAAAATGAATATGAAAAGAAATTGATAAGATGAAAATTTTGCAAAGAGAATACTTCAAATGCTACACTTTATGAAATTACTCAAGCACAAATGACATTATAGGGTCGTATAATACCATTTCAAATCTGTAGTAAAATTGAAATCTCCTGAATAACTTGTGATCTGAATGATTGAATGGAAAAGTGTGTATGAATGTCCTTTATTTAAGGCTGTACTCAGTAAACACACACACACACACACACACACACACACACACACACACACAAATTCCTCAGAATTCTAAACAAGTGATGTTTGTAGAAAGGTAGACCACTAATTAGCTGATCCAATCATGTGATCTGCAGACCATCAATGGATACTAGTCATACCATGTGCCTGGAGGGAATCAGCTACCATGGTGTTGCCTGTGTTATCCTGATTTAGCCTCAATTTATTGCTATTCCTCATGTTGGTTCCCATGTGAGTCTCTTACATAATTTATTATTAATGAATAAAGATAATTAGTGTAATGCCTCAGTTTCCCCTCCATAAAAATGAACACTATGTTAGGTAAATACTTCCTAAGAATTGTCTCACTATACTTCTCTCTTTTCTGGGAAAGGGAGGCACGCACATCAAAGATTTATACATTATTATTGTCACTTACTGATTTAACATAAAGAAATCAAGACTTAATGATGGCTAATAACTCAGTATAGTTGATCTGTTAGTAAAGTGTCATTCTAAGCCAGGGACCACCTGTCCAGGTATCAAATTACTTTTATCAAACAAAAGCCCACATTAAAAGAGATCAAGGTTGGGAAATTTCTAATATTCACTCTAGGTTTCTTTTTTTTTTTTTAATTTTATTTTGTTAAGACGTTGTACGGAGGGGTTTCAGTTGCATGAGTAAGGCAATGCGTACATTACTTGTCCATCATTGTTACGCCTTCCCTTCCTTGTTGTTGTCCCACTATCCCTTCCCTCCCCCACTTCCCACACTCCTACCCCCCCCCACTTCGCTGCCCAAAGTTGCAAAGTTCTCTTCCAATATAGTGTCCTGTGGGTGTCCTTGTTACAATGGGTCATCCGTGTCCTTGTTTCGACGTCCTTTCAGTTTTAAATTCTGATTATTTTCTTTCTCTGAAATCTTTAGTGGTTGTTATAATACTTCTGGACAGTTTGTACCTTCTATGTGAAAAAAAGAATATCTATATAAGCTGCTAATACTTTTATCTTTCCTACCAACAACCGTATGTCATTCTTTCCACCATTTCTTGCTTCTGCTCTGTCAGTGGTTGTTATTCACCTGTCTACCTCACTACTGAACCATTTATTAGACTCCTTTCAATGTGGGAAATATTGCAAAAGTAATTACAACTTACTTTAGAAATAAAAGCAGAAACAGAAAAAAATAATAGAATATAAACAAGCCTCATGACACATTTAGTTCCAAAGTTATGAAAAAGTACATACAAAGTCTATGCAAAGATCTAGTTTCTGCTGTCCAGTATGGTATCCACAAATCATTGTAGCCATTAAATTCAAAGCAAAATAATTAAAATGAAGCAAAACTCATACCAAACTTTATCGAGTTCAGGATATACACTTGAGACTAGAAGCTCCCATAGTGAAAAATGCAAATGTAGACT